AATTGGCAAGTTTCGCGAGCCGCAGACGGGCGGCAAGCCGCTCGAGAAGAACCAGCTGGTCAAGATCTTTGGCGAGGACGAGGTGCGGGCCGAGCTCGAGGCGCTCAAGCTCAAGCACTGTGAGCCCGAGGGGAAGGAGCAGGCGGCGGCCAAGGAGGGGACCTGCCGGTGAGGAGGGGAGTGGACGGTTCCGCGGGCGCGCCACCGGCCCGCCGCCGCCTCTCATGTTGGGGGTGGTCCTGGCGGCCACCCATCAGATACGCCCGGGGGGGGGGGGGCCTCGGCCTGCACGGGCCCATCCGCACTCAACGCACGGCAGGGTTGCGTTGTATTATCTGCTGAGAAAAAAGTGCTGCGTGAATTGGAACACCCCCACTGAAACATGGTATGGGTGTGGACGCCAGGCCGTAATTACCTGTGAGAATCTATACGCTAGTTCCATTTCACTGTGGCACAGCTCGCGTTACAAAACCTTGATTTTGACCATTGCGCGAAAAAGGTACATCTCGGTGCCTTCCAGAGGCAGCTGCGACCCCGCCGAGTGGACGGCGTCACACAGCAGGTGGCGCTGTGTGACGCCGTTCACTCAGCGGGGTCGCAGCTGCCTCTGCGCGTCCTGGGTATGTACCTTTGTCGCGCGCCGGAGATGACTCGACGCCGCTGAGATCGGAGATCAAGCTCTGACAGGTCGCACGTCGCTCCTTTGACGCCGACGTGACTCACCCGTGCAGATCACATCAGGACACGGTCTCGACGCGCTCGGTACGACGCCTGCGACCCGTCTCGGGTCAGGTGGCACGACGCTCATCGCGCCTACCAGCGCTGCCGTGCAGGTTGCCACGACGAGGTCGAGCACGCTTCTATACGCTCGCCGAGCCTTCCTTTCCATCCCATTTGGCAGCCTGGGAACGGTGGCGGTCAGAGGCAAAGCATACGAGGGGTGGTGGAACCACATGTCACGGCTACTGCCGGCTCGACCCCACGATAGCCTCCGGAGGCTGACTTTGAGGCACAATCATCGGACGACGTCGGCGAGTTGAGTCGCGCTCGCGGTAGCCAGATGACCTCTCATACTAGTATCATCGGCCATGGCCGCAGGAAGCGCGGGGGAGGGCGCTGGGAGCAACACGGAGCTCCGTTGGACGTTTTCAAGATTAGCGTGTCAGAGTGAAATGGAACTAGCCATAGGCGAAACACAGTCAGACCCTAGGTCAGACCAACAACTGTGGACTGGGACACCAGCGCGCGGTATGGGGTGCATGGACGCTCTCGCGTTCTCAACGGTCAAAACCCTCCCACCCACCCCCGCCCCACCCCCTCACTCAACTTCCCCGTGGTACTCTGTGCTCACTGCTGCATGCCCATTGCGTACGCACTCTCTATGCGCGCTGGGCCGCATCCGCCGCCATCCTCGCAGCGGCCGCCTTGGCCCTCGCAACGGCAGTGGCCGCGCGCCTCTCCTTGGCAGCGGCCAGTTTCGCCTCGGCCGCCGCCGCTTCGGCCGCCGCCGCCGCTGCCGCTGCCGCTGCCGCCGCCGCCGCCGCCGCTGCCGCAGCCGCCGCCGCCTCAGTCACCGCTTCCTCCTCTGCGGCAGCCTCGTCCTCCGCCTCCGCCTCCTCCTCCGCCGCCTCCGCCTCCTCGGCCAACCGCGCCGCCTCGGCCACCTCTGCCGACGCCGCCGCCTGGCTCTCCGGCGTGATGCCAAGCCGCATTCTCTCCTCGGTGAGCGTCTCGAGAAGCCTTAGAAGCCTCGCCTCCTCGGCCTTCTTCGCCGCCTCGGCTGCGTCTGCCTCGGCAACCTCCTCGGGCTCCTGCGACGGCACAGCAGCCGCGCCCGCCCCGCCGCCCTTCTTCTTCTTCTTGCCCTTCTTGCCCTTGGCTCGCTTCTCCGCCTCGACCTCCGCCAGCAGCTCCTTGGCGTGCCGCGCCGCCTCCTTCTCCTCCGCCGCCCTCTGTGCCGCCCTCTCCGCCGCTCCCGCGGCCCACGCCGCCTCCGCCGCCGCCTTCTCCGCCGCCTTCTCAGTCTTCTTCGCTGCCTCCACCACCGCCTTCTCCGCCGCCGCATGCTCCTCGAGGGCGCGCACGCACTCGGCGTGGCCCTTGTCCTTGGCAAACTGCAGCGCGGTCTTGCCGTCCGTAGCAAGCAGAGGAGGGCGGCGAGGTGGCCGTAGAAAGCGGCCCGAATCAGCGCGGTGTCGCCGATGTTGTCTTGCAGGTCGATCTCCGCACCTGAGTCGACCACTTTCTCGTGGCCGTCTGCGGCGGCGCCCATCAGCGCGGTGCTGCAGAGAGTAGTTTGCTGGTTGATCTCCGCGCCGTGCCGCAGCGCCAACTCGACCAGCTTCTCGCGGCCGTTCGCGGCGGCGAGACTCAGCGCGGTGTCGTCGTCGCTAGCCTTCAACGAGAGATCAGCACCGCGCTGGAGCAGCGCCTCGGCCAGCCCCTCGTGGCCACGCGTCATTGCGAGCATCAGCAGCGTCACGCCGCTCACGCGCTCGCCGTCCGAAAAGACGTACTCGAATCTCGCGTTGACCTGCCCGCCGCCGTCGAGCCACGCCAGCACCGCCTCGTCGCCTCCCTTGGCCGCTTGCACAACCTCCACTGGCACTGCCCCGCTGCTGCTCAGCGCCGCCCCCGCACCTCCCTCGCCGCTCGAAGCAGAGGCGGCGGCACTCGCATCCTCCGCCGCGCCTGCGCCGCCTGCCTCAGCCGACGGTGCCTTGCTCCGGCCCGCCGCCACCTGCCCGAGATGCGTCCTGAAGGCCTGGACGCACTCGGGGTGGCCCTTCTCCTTGGCCCACTGCAGCGCTGTCTTGCCCGCCGCATCGCGCATCGCCATGTCTGCGCCCGCCCGCAGCAGTTGCAGCACGACGGCGGGGCGGTTGAAGCAGGCGGCGAGAATAAGTGCGGTGCCACCGTTCTCGAGCAGGAAATAGCGCTTTTTGGCACTTGCATCGCGACAAGGTCACACGCGGACGCTCCAGCCTCTCAGCTCACCACCTCGCCTTCTCTGTCGCCCTCCTGGCCCAGGCCCACCAGTAGTAAGTCTGAGCCGTCCCAAACCGCACTTACCTTGGGTCTGCAAGCTCACACCGGCTCGTGATGCCACGGAGAGGGCTCGGGATTGTCTCCGGTGGACCCCATCCGAGGCGATTGCGAGGGCTTTCCGGAGGTCATCATCGGCGCCACCGACCGTGATATGTCTCGTCCCGCAGCCCTCATACACCAGGCGCATGGATGCAGTCATAATATGTAGGCCTTATCTCCCGAAGTTTTGAGCAATAGCCGCAAATAGTACTTTTTGGCACTTCATCGCGACACGTCCAGGTGCCGACAAAGCGGCTTCCCAGCTCACCACCTCGCCTTCTCTGTCGCTCTCCTGGCCCAGGCCCATCAGTATCAAGCCTGAGCCGTCCCAAACCGCACTTATCTTGGGTGATGAAGCTCACTCTGGCTCATACCACGGCGCTGCAGCCTCACACACGCCCGTTTCAGCCACAGACACCGCCGGCACGCACTCCCACTTCACACATGCTCAAACACAACCCCACCAAAGCACAGCCCTGCTCAGAATTGGCAAGGGCTATCACTTGGTGACCCAGGCAGCCTTTGGCTCGCCACTGCACTCGGCTCCTCTCAATGCGTGTCGGGCACCCCCCACGACAGCACGCCGACGGCAAGCTTTGACGCCCGTCTGGTGGACCTGCTGTGGCCACAGCCGCCCCTCACATGCAGCTCGCACCATGACTCGACACCGGGCCCGCTCATCCCGGTCGTGGCGGCGTGTGTGAAGGATGCGCGGCCAAGCCGCTGGCTGGCGCCGCTTGAACGTCCGAGATGGCCGCAGCAGAGGCCACGCGTCGCGCCGCCGGCCAAGCCCAGCCTCTCGGCGGTCCAGTTGGTCGAGCTGGCGGGGCCGGCGAAGATTTCGGGGACGTGACCGCAACTCGGGCAGCAACAGCGCGCTTGAGCTGCGCATGACCGACGACCCCATTTTTCGGGGTGGATTCATTAGGGCCTACCTAGGCCTTTAAAATCCTTAGACGCGGAGATGTACGCGATACTCGCATACCTACGCAAAATGGCGAGCGCGAGCGACGCGCAGTCGAGACGGTGCTTAGAATCTAAGGCTTAGTACTATGCGACTGCAAACCCGCGCTGCAGCAGATTGAGAGTGCGTACCGCAAAGGGATGCCCGAAGGCCTGAGGGACTGGGAGAGAGGCGGTCGAGTTCGCAGTGTATGCCACGGCCACCGCCTGCGGCATTGCTCTCGTGCAGCTCAAATCAACGCAATGGGAATGACCGAGTACTAAGATGTTGTACTTACAAAGAGGGAGTCCAGGAGCGGATGGAGGAGAGGGTGAAGGCGGTGGCTTGTTCAGCAGCTTCTCGGCGAGCTTGAGGAACCAGTCAGTGAGGCCTTGGCTGCGGTAGTGCGTCTCCAGCCATGTCTACTAAGGATGGCTGCTGTGTGTGTGTTGCAGCCATCGGGCTGAAGGATGTGGCTGCACTGCAGCTAGCTCAGCCATCCTTAGGTAAGATGGCTGTGAAGGAGCATGCACAGCCATTCTGGTGTACATTCCGAGGTTAGCGTGACAGTGCTCGGTTCCTATATGCGCCTTGCCGTGGGGGCTCCTTGATCTGTCGAGCAGCCCAAGGCCCTCGATGGGCGACGCCAAAAGCGCCGCTGGCGAACGACGACCGCCGTGGCCGAAGAAGGCTTTTGCCCTCGGACTCGTAATCGGTTTCCTGATCGCGGGAGGGATAGCTGTGGCGGTGCTTGCGCTCAACGATCGGCGAGCCGAGGCGGCGATATCTGCAGGTCCGCCCTCGTTTCCGCCGATGTCTCCGCCGCCGTCTCCGCCGAAGTCACCTCCACTACCTCCAACATCTCCACCGCCGTTGCTCTCCAACCCGGCTGAGATGTTCGTGAACGCCACGGCGGCAGTCACCAACGTCTCTGGCATGTCCGACCTAGCGTCCGACATGATCGTGTTGGACGTCGACCTCGAATTCACATCGACCTCGATGCTGGAGGAGAAGGTAACCGCACTGCGTGCTGATCTTTGGTACACTCCCAACATCGTATCCCGGAGCACGGCCGACTTGGAGGCGTCCGAACACATCGGCTGGTGCAGCGTGGTTGATCTTTGGGTGCGACGCGGCGTTGTCGCCGCCAAGGCGCAGATCATGCTACAAAATAGCGAGGCTGGGGGGCACGCACTCGGCCGGTGGCTGTCTCAGAGGGAGCTAGCCGTCGTCGCAACCGGGCTGGGCCTGATCACGCTTGAGACTAGTCGCGTCAAGATCTTGTCGAGCGGGCTGGTCTCGGGCGAGACGATAGCAACCGGCTACGAGACGGTCGAGGTCACCAACACAAGCGTCCCCTTTGTCAACACGAGCGCGAAATGCCCAACTGGGGGCGCGTGCAGCCGTGGATTCATCGTCTCCGGCGCCAACCCGTTTGGGCGCGAGTGGGCAGTCAAGGAGATTGCGCTCGACGCCTACTTCGATTGGACATTCGCGTACAACACCTCGGTGATTTCGTCCTCGACTTTGTCGCCGCTGCGCGTCTCATTCGCAGACGTCAAATGCGATAGGACTGACACGTACGCACGGATGGTAGCGGCAGGCACAACTACGATCCCGCAGGGCGAGGGAACCGACTTCAGCGTCTTCCTCACGGCGACGCCCCTGCCTGGCCGGGCCGCCGCGGTCAACCGGGACTTGAGCCCAGGAGGAGACTGCACTTGGATCTACCCCTACGACTGCTGCCTGATGACGGCGCTGACCGCGGCTGCGTGCAAGGTGGAGGGAGGAGGGGGGGATGAGGCGAAGATTGGCATCGTGCTCAAGGGCGAGGCGACGATGCTTGTGGATGGCGTAGAGATGACAGTCTTCCCGGAAGTCGGATTGGAGCTATCATACACGGACGACGTGCTTCAGTTTGACCTCCTTGGGGGCACTGTCTTCGCTCTAGGGGCTCTAGGCTTCGCTTGCGAAGACGTCACGTTCGCCGGGCCTTGAGCGTCCGTGTGTGAGTGTTAATAGATGTTCATGTTTGTTGTGCATACGTTGTAAACTAGAGAGGGGAAACCATACATGGACATCTCTGCGCAACATCGGAAGATCCTTGGACTGTAGATCGCAGATGCCTTTTAGAGATCTCATAAGTGGCAAATCTCCTGCCAAGAGCAGCAGTAGATTGAAGAACTGGTGGAGGCAAATCTTCACCGGTGTAGATGCTCGAGAGGAGTCTGAGATCTCGAGTTGGTGCGTGCAGTCGCTAGGCCGGATTCGGTCAGATCTCCGATCTCCATCTCCAATCTCCAATCTCCAATCTCGATTCGGGGGCCCGGGGGAGGAGGGGGGGCTCGAACCTTCAAGGAGATGCGCTATGGATTCATTCACACTGACCATCTCTCATGGGTTAAGCGGCGCTTGATAACGTGATTACGACAGAGTTTTCAGAATTCGTTTGTTGGTGGGGTGTATCAGACTAGCAAGACTTCGCCACCACATTGCGTGCACGCGCCGCTCGTCCCACATGCTTCGAAGACTGAGTTGAGACACACACACACACACACACACACACACACACACACACACACACACACAGTCACACACACACACACACACACACACACACACACACACACACACACACACACACACACACACACACACACACACACACACACACACACACACACACACACACACACACACACACACACACACACACACACACACACTGTTGTCGTCTTTCTTCCTTTGTTTGTGTGTTTCTTTGCGGCTGGGCGTTGTGAAGACGAGAAAAATGAGCGACTCGATCACGCCGGCGCCACCGGCACCGCCGGCGATCACGCCGAAGGCGAGGACATTCCCATCGGCATCATCGCCAACGCGGCCAAAGGATATCCGCCTCAAGAACCTCGAGAGACCTCGAGAGAGACGAGGAAGCCGGGTTGACAGGGACACATCCAAGGACGCCGAAGGACCACAGCTTCATGCGTCACCTTCGCCGCGAGCACCATCATGGAAGATGGCAAAATGGACCGTCTGAAGGCGCTCCTTCGCGGCGCGCTTGACCGTGTCGAGCACGCTCAGCAGACTGGCGGGCCGCTGGACACCAGCAATCACTTCCTCGCCCACTGCCTCGCCTACCAGCCTCCGGTGGTGGCCGAGCTCATTTCGACGCCGCTGCGCGACGCACTCCTCATATCTGGCCAGATGCTCGAGCAGCTCAACGATCACATCAACTGCGTGCGGGACGACTGCGCGGCCTGCCCGCCGCTTGATAGTGATGGTCGCGTCCGACAGGAGCTGCACGCCGCAAAGCAGAGCGTGGGCACCGTCCTTCGGGTGCGACTGCACGGCCCCGGCCGGTGTCAGCTCGCCAGCGGGCTGCTCTCCACGCGCGGCGAGGGCGACGTGCTGGGGCGACTGCTGAGCAGTGGCGTGCCACCCCAGTGCGACGTGCACATTGCCCACCGCGTTAGGCAGGGGCAGCGCTTCCTCGTGAGCGGCGCCAACGGGCGAAAGCGCGAGTGCGCCGCCGCTGAGTGGCAAACGCTGTGGCGCGACGGCGGGTGTTCGGGCCTTTGGGTCCTTGGCGACCTGCTGCCCGAGACGCTACTGCCAGTGCTGCGGCTGCACGTGCTGCTCGTGGTCTCGGGCAGCGACGCGTGTGCCTGCGAGCGGGCGCCCGAACACGCACAGCCGCTCCGCGAGGGCATCTCCGCCGCGGGGGGCGAGTGGGCCGACGGTGAGCCCGAGGACCCGTGGGCGTCGTCGGCCCCTCTGCGGGCACCTGCTGCCGCTGCCGCACCGCCGCCTGCCACTGCCTCGCCGCCGGCTGCAGCTGCGCTGCTACCTGTCGCCTGCGCGGCCCGAGCAGGCGGACGCGGTTGGGACCGACGGGCCGCGCACCATCTGCCTGGAGCCCGAGGGCCTGGCGACGGCGGCAGAGGGGCTGGCCGCGGGCGCGGTGGCGGCGCTCGAGGCGATCGCGCGCGCGGCGCGCGGCGCGGCGGAGGCGGCGAGCGTGGCGGTGGCGGTTGGCCTCGCGCGGTGCGGAGTGGACGAGAAGCTCGGCTACTGGCGCGGGCTGCGCGACGCCGAGGAGAAGGCGCAGCACGTCGTGCGCCAGCTGTGGCAGGCACCGCCACCCGCCACCCCGGATCCCACCTGCCACGCGTCACTGTTAGCGGTGCCGCAGCTCCATCTGCACCCCGCCCTCCTTCCCCGCACCCTCAACGCCCGCCCCGCGCCGCGCCCGTGCCTCTCCAACGCCACCCTCCCACCACCCTCGGCCACCACCCCTTTCGCACTCGCCCCGCGTTCCGTCGGTGCGGCGCGGTGCAGGTCTGCCTCGCCGGCGTCGACTCTCTGCAGTTCGAGGGAGCGGTGGCGCTCGCCACCGCGTACGTCGATGCGCACGCGGAGGGCGACGCGGAGGGCGCGCTCGACCATGCGCTCGACGCGCTCGTCACGTGGCAGAGCACGCGCACCTTCGGCACCGGCTTCGCCTCCGGCTTCGGCGGCCTCGCCACGATGGCCCTCACGGTGCCCACCGCGCTCTTCGCCGCGTGGGCCACCGCCGCGCGCCTGTGAGCCTCCCTCCCCTCGGCCCGCCCTCCCCCCGGGCCGCCCGGCGTGCACATGCGGCCCTCGTGCGCGGGGTGGCCCCCGCGCCGCAGAGCGCGATGGGCACAGTGAGAGGCGGGTGGGGAGGGCGAAATGATGATGAGAAGGAAAGCAGGTTCATAGGGGTGCGGCAGGGGGCGAAGAGAGGAATAGCGAGGGTGAGATCGGGATACCGAGCTAGAAAGCGTAAATATGGAAATATGTGT